TGTTTCTTTAGATATACCAACTCCCGAATAAAAGCTTTGATAGCAACAAAAGTAAGACATTATAGCAAAAGTTACGGAAAACTCTATAAAGGTTCTTACGATTTTGTTTTCTGGTTGTCGGAGAAACTTTTGCGAAAATATACCTTATTCTGCTTACTTAATAGTCATTATTATTCTGCCTTATTATTAATACATTGAACTCGCTAACTAAACCAACAGTTAAATATCCTTAATCAACAATAATAATAATTATGCTAAATCTTATTCTCAGAACAAGATCACAACAACAACACCAAATAATAAACAAGTAATTTCCCCGTAAGTGAATCAGGAAAATATTTTAGTTAAATTTTCAACTTAATGGTTATAACTCCAAATACAAATATTGTCCAAAGCAAAAACGAAGTAAAATCTTTTAATATTTTCATGATCCCATTAAATTAAAACATGTGATACTTTACTATACAGAAAGTTCCGAAAATGTTAAAATGCAAAACTGAAATATTGAATACTATCAGTTACTTTCAAAATAAACCCATTACTACAGCATTTTACAATACCTACTCGACGAAATTTAAAAAAAAATTGCATTAAGCTTCTCTACACGAGTAGTATAGAACTACTATTGTAGAGAAGCTTAACTTACTCGCGGAAAAATAAAATATCAACAAAACAACTTTGTGTGACTTTACCTTATCTCCTTCTTCTACTTCTACTTAATCTCCACAAGATTTGTGTTATTTTTTTAATCTTAGATATTCAAGAATAATTTTTAATTAAGCCCACTGTTTAATCAGTAAGTTTCAGTTATTTGTCGCTGCTGTAGATGTCGCCAAATGAACCGCATTGAATCCATAACTGGATTAAGCACTCGCTGGAGTGAGCTTGACTGGATTCAAACAAGCCACTTGTTTAGCGCACACGTGATAGGAATAGCCAAAGTTATTATTGTTTCAGCAATTTAAGCGACATTCATATTGTAATCAACCCAGTTGTCGTCTGGTGTACGAATAATGAAAAACATGCTTTAAATGGTTTTATAAATAAGTAACTAGATTAAGCCCAAGTTTTGTCACGTTAAACTTTGGAACCCATTTTATCCCCATAGGAATTTCACCTATATTTTGGATAATCCTTTCTTAGCGGATTTCTATTTCTAATGACCATCTGTGTGCTAAATTCCAGCGCAATCCATTCATTGGTGCTTTACATTAGTCTAAGCAGTAATAGTTGCCTAATATAACATCCATTTCTGGACGATAATCGTAAATGTTAAGTCTTAGAGACATACGGAATATTTTGTTCCTCTAAATTTTAAAATACTTTATGGTATAAATCAGTGAGTTTTCAAACTGAATTCGCTACGTGTTGCATCAAAAGATTGCACCAAGTAGCGTGCGGTGGAAGCACGTTCAAATAAAATTTCAAAATGTCCATTCAAAATAGCACTTCTGATTCGCCTTTAAACTTGGTTCAAAGATAGCGACTATTTCAATTGCTAAAAGAACTTTTATTTTAGCAAAACAAAATATTGCAACTCGAATATGAATTCGAATACCGTAAACAGAATACGAATAGAAGTGTGTATTAGAGTGAAATATATTTTTGGCAACTGTACCGCATTGGAGAACCGGACAGTTTGACCAATATTTTCTCAATTTCTATGTCCAAAATTTAGAGTCGGAGTCGAGCTATCAACAACAGCTCGTGGGTCACCGAGAAGAAGCTTTGGCCGAGAAAGTAATCTCAACATCTCATCTCAGACCTCGGTATAGAGCAGTGATATCAAATTTGATACCCATTTAACAGTCTAGCTAGATAATCATATTATCATCATTTCATAGGCCATAGGACGTCCTTTGCTGAACATTAGGCCTCCCCCAATGTTTTCCACGTTGATCGGTGGACGTCCCATGCTGCGTTTTCCGGTACGCGGCCTCCACTCCAGAACTTTGCTGCCCCATCGGCCGCTAGTTCTGCGTACTATGTGCCCTGCCCATTACCACTTCAGCTTGCTTGCCTGCTTTACGCACCTCCTCATTTCTCATCGAAAAATCAAAATCAAAATCAAAGTTATCTTTATTTGTTTAGACTAATTAAATTAGTACTTGCAAATCGTCAAATGCTCTTAAGGAGCCTATACATGTCTCATTCTTTTTTTGCGATCGACTCTAGATAATACCTTTTCTGAATTTGTTCACAAGAACTTAGTTGTTAAGTAGTGACATAAATCGGTTACGAAGCATAAACCGATTCGAACTTACACCCCGATCGTTAAACACGACTTCCTTCACCGGCACCGACTAACAACTATCTCCGCCGTAAAAACTAGTCATAATAACAGTTTGTAGCCCATCAAAAGTTGTTAAAAGTATAACATAACCTTTATCTTTCCGTTTGTGTGGCGATTCGCGCATCGATTCTATCGAATCGTAAAACTCCTGCGCCGTTGCCGTAAACATTTATGATTCATGTTTATTCAAAGCGCTCGCAGCGCTTTCAAGCCATAAACCGCTGTTTACAAGCCACCAGTCATTGCTTTACAGCTGATTTGTTGGGTATAAACTTTATGTCATTATCACAATCAGAATAAATTCGGCTGCAAGGTTATTCGTGAAAAAGCAATGTGTTATTTCAGTTCAACATTGTTAAACTTTATGCTAGGTACTCCTACCTCTTTTTTTAATAAATCACACAACCTATTTAGTTTAAATGAGTAAGCAAACAAACAAAACAACTAAAACCGTTAAAGAAATAATGTATATTCGATTCGATGAAAATAATGATCCGAAATTTTTCAGTCCCGCTAAAAACCAACATAGGATGAGTATAAATTGTGTTTCTAAATAGATCATGACGATATCTCTTTAAACGTCACAGATTCTACAATCTTCAAAGCTAGATTAAGTGCGATAGTTAGTCTCTATAACGAAACGCAACAAAATAGCCCCAACTAAGAAATAAATAGCACAAATTCAAAATGAGAAAAATCTCACTCCTAAAGTTCCAGCTAGAAGCTTACAAGTGCTCAGTAGTAATTAAAAACGAGGCTTAGCATAAAGTGTGGCAATTGCTCAATGTCTGCCGGAGTACTCGTAAAAAATTTATCGCTCACGAAAAATGTATTATTTGCTATCCACGGCCATTTGCAACCAAGTTTTTTGGCTGATTAAAGTCTGGTTCGTTTTGAGAACGTTATTAGATATCTCTGAGCTCATTAAAGGATAGACTTAAGGATTGATTGGTATACAAAAAGATTTGCGATGAATAGTCAATGTGTGGTGAGGTTAATGTCAGTTGAAAGTGACCTGAAAAATAATATTAAAACCAGCAATTTAAGCTTTAGATTTCAGCACTCGCCCTGAAATTCTAGTCGAAAATTGTCTGAACTTAATTTAGTGCCAATGATCTTTCATAGGCGAATGGTGTATAAAGCGAATCCTCTTACTAAAACTCTTAACCAGAGTCGAATCAATTAGTTGCTGAATAACTTAATAATTTGTAAACTTGTTAAGTTCCACTGTATCAAGATTGGAAATGGAACCAAAATGAGCTATAAAATATTGCATTTTTAATAAAAACTTCCCAATACCATAAACAACATTAAATAAACCCCTAATTTGAGTGAGGAAAACACTATCAATGTTTATCGCCGCATACAAAATACTTGTGTCGACGTTGTTTGTCTGCTCATTGATATTCGGCGTCGCGCCATCTCTCCGTTTGCGTAAACAGCCTCCGCTACAGACTGTAAACAATCGTGGGTAAATAGCTTATATGCAACTATAAGCTCTATTACGATAGCAACAAATATAATTTAGAAACAAACAAAGACTGGCTAGTAACACCAATAACTCAAGAATGGCTGAAATTTTTTGGAGTCGTCTCCGTTCTGAATAGTAGAATAACAATTGAAATACATAAAAATTCACAAAAAAAAAGATCAGCTACTGAACAATATTTCTAACAATGAATGGATGCCAAGAAGAAACTACCTTAATCCCTACACCTATCTACTTAATCATTCAATTTAAAGAAAAAAAATATAAATTAGTTGGGTTTAATGATCATGCTATGTTTAGTGCAAAAAGCAATAATAAAATAAAAAATACATCACCTGAAAATACAGAACCTTCACCAACTCCAAATGATTCTCCGATTTACACAAATTCCACAACTGAAACCGGACCTTGTCAAGAGGAATCACATAGTCTCTTGAATAATACAGACATGTCGGAGGACTCATACATATCAAGTAAAAGGCTGTCAAAGAGTGCAGAACATACACTACTAAATGATACAGCAACAGAACATGAGTACCGAGAAGAAATAAACCAGCTAAAAACGACTTTAATTTCAACAGAGACAGAATTAGAGACTACTATTTTAGAAAATAAAGATTTAAAAAAATGTATAGACAAATTAAACAAAGAAATACAACTTCTGAAAAACATCTGTACATCTCCACAGAAAAAATCTTCCTGTTCTGAAAAAAAAAGATATTCGAAGCAATTTTCCCATAACATTACACCACCTAGAAGCATTTCAACTGATGACACTACAAAAACAGCTGAATTATTGAGCCTACAAAAACTGATATCAGACCTTAACCAGTCACTTATGAACGCTCATCAGGAAATAGATAAATTGGAGAAACAGATACTTGAGCTCAGGGGAAAATTATTGAACTCTACTTGTACAGAGGAGGNACATTGAGAGATAACCAGAAACACTTGGCTACATTATGGAAAAACCAAACATCTGTAGTCGAAGCTGAATTAAACCTGATCAAACGGGTAGAGGCTTCAATAGATAAACAGCACAAAAGTTTTAACCTACATCTAAATAAATTGGAAAAGGAGCTCAACTATCAGAAATATGATCTTCAAAAGGCAGTTAACACAAACGACTTCACTCTATCATCAGTTATTGCTAACAGCGTTTTAGTAAACCTACAGAACATTCAAGAAACTTTGGTCGACTCCATCACCAACATTTATCTAGGCAAGTTCAACTTTCATCTGCTTTCTCCTGATCAACTGAAAGATGAATTAAATATCATCACTGGATTATTATCCAAGGACTTGACACTCCCATTAGATAATACTCAGTCTGACCTATCAAATATCTATCATTTACTTACCGTGAAAGCGAGAGCAATGAAAAACTTTATCATCTTCGAGGTAAACATTCCATTGGTGAGCCGAGATAACTTCGATATTTACAAATTATTACCGATCCCACAGAAAGTAAACAACAATATGATCAATATCATACCCGTGTCCGATTACGTAGCTGTGAATATACAAAAGGACTCATACGTACTTACCTTTACAAGATAAACATATTCAGGAATGTGTAAAATATGACATCGAAACCCTTATATGTCCTCTGAAACAGCCNTTCTTGAGGAAATGAGTTCTAAAAGTCTTCTTCTTTTCGTCTTTTTGCTGGACTCGTCGAACTCCTTGAGTGGTCGTCCAGGTGTAGAATCTTTCGACGTGGAAGACTGAACTTTATGAACAGAAACATGTAACACTATGGCTCCGGGAATCCACTCAGTTTTTGTTTTTCATGAAACGTTCCCTGTTTTGCCGTATTTCGTCCATTGAAATGAAATTGAAATGCGACTGATGCTATTCTTCAACTCTCTCAGAGAATTTTCGTGATCCCAATACATCACATTTTGAGAATATAAATTAAAAATCATGCTATTCTGGTCACTTTTTCAATGTTTTAATCATTAATCAAAAAACTTGATTTTTTATTAATCTGAAAAAATAAAATTGTTGTGCAAAAGTGTGCAAACTGAAACTGGTATATTTGAATACAAGAGGGTTACAGCTACAATATATATAAATTCCAGACTGGGGTCAAGTGGGGGCATACAACTAGAGATGGGTTTCCACCCGGGTAAAAACCCACATGAGGGNATTTCCGCTATTGAAACACAATCAGATACTAGCGGCCATCAGAAAGAACTAGAGGTGATCAATCAGAAAATACAAGAAATGAAAATCAGGGCATCTGAAGGTGTCCTAACGGATCGAGTATCATATCACGACGTACACCACTACGTTGCCATCTACGTAGTGGTGGGCTGCGGATAGGGTTGCCAGGCGTCCGGCTTTAGCCGGACATGTTTGGCTTTTTACGGTCTTGTCCGGCCAAATATTGTCTTGTCCGGCCTGTCCGGCTTTTGTTAGGCTTTTTATTTGGTCTGCTGCGCTAGGCGAAAGTCGAGCCACAGAATAATATGAAGCGCACGCATCAGGATGTTATGTTGGGCAACCGATGATGATGACAGTACTCACTCGTAAGCTATGAAAATCTTTGAACATCAAGTGCCTTTAAATAGTTTCCATCCTTTGACTACAAATTAATAAAAATAAGCACCATAACATAATTATTTTGAAGATTATTTGATATAGACAAAAAATAATTTATACAAATCGAATTATTTAAAAAAGTATCAGAATATTGAATATTTGGTGCTCATTTCTTTTATTTTTGAGGACCAACAAGTAACGATCAGATATAATTTTTACATCTCAAAAATTTTTTGCGTAGTTCAAAAGAGGTTTAAATATCGATCGATTTCATTTATTTTATGTCTCAAAGAAAGAGGATCAATCATTAAAATAGATGACCATTTAGATTTTTTTATTTGCCGTTTTTGCTAATTTAAAAGGATCATTTAAATACATGCCGATTATAATTCTATGATCGAAGAATTATTTAAAAATGGACATAAAGAGAAAGAAATATTGTGCGGCGTTCGGGTGTTTAAATTCGAAAAGTAATCTACCGGATTTATCTTTTTTTTCGCTTCCCAAAGATGCTGAAAGGTATGTTGGCCATGTAGGTAATCAATAATTCTTAGGATAGTATAGGAACCTAACCTGCTATGACTACTGCTCAGAATGCGTTCGTTCGTTTCAGCCAAATGACGTCCACTGCTGGACAAAGGCCTCTCCCAAGGTTTTCCATAATGAATGCATACTTACATACATACGTGTCATAAGGAACGTACCTCATGACATATAAGTAGAATAATTATTTTTTTCACTAGACAGCAACCCTAACAGCGTAAGAAGAGTTCAGAGGCACGCGATAGAAAGAGACAAAACTTGTAGGTGAATAAAATTGTAGGTACGTAGTGCTGTGCGAGCTGAATTCCACTGTATCGCGTCGTAGCAAGACTCGCATTTATTTAAATCGTCTTGCGGAGTAATCCTTCTGTACCTGTACTATTACTTATTCTGTGCCAGTACTAAGAAAAAGCATCGTGAAAAATTCGCCGAGTACACAGGACGATCCACCGCTCCGATCGCATGCAGCATGTCCACATAAGATCGAGCACCTGAGGGCGTCGCGCAATGGATTCATCACCAAGGTAAAAGTCATTAAACATTTTTAAGCTTTAATGCAGTAAGTAGCTCAGTATAGGTATCAACAAGCCAAACGACGGTCAAGGTTTTCTTATGTGAAGAGAAACATGGTAACATAATGGGTATCAACAAGCCAAATAACTGTCAAGGTTTTCTCATATGAAGAGAGACACGGTAACATAATACTCACGACATAGCTTGCACGGGCATGCCAAACGTCTGTATAAACAGCGCCAGCTTATGCGCCGGCATGCCTCTCAGGCCCGCTTCCAGTAGCGCCGGCCTGGCAGACCGCACCAGGTGCAGGCGCAGCCAGTCAGGCAACAGCGCCTCTTCAGCCGCCGCCACCCCCGCCGCCCCCGCCACCCCCGCGGCGCCCGGGAGTAAGGCTACGGCGCTGGGCGCGTCGCTGCCGAACCAGGTGGCTAGTAACCAGGAGTACATCTCTTGGTTCGTGTCGTCTGGGGACAGATTGTGTTATGAAGAACATAATTCTTCATCAAATATATAAAGTCAAGCAATGCTTAAAGCACAACGAAAATGTTTGACAATCCGGCTCGAAGGACCAAAAAATTTAAGTGACGATTATGAGGAATAGGTTTACTCAGAACACTATTGAAATGAATAAAAAATACGATCCATTCGAGTGCCACTAATACATGAATTCTATTAGTTTTTTTTTATCCACAACGAGGAAGCTCTTGTCCTGTATCTCACCTGATGGTAAGTGATGATCAGGCCGAAGGTGGAAGCGAGCTACACCCGGAATCCTCAAGCACGGAGGAACTGGCTATCTTACCTCTAACTGCCGGAACACAACAATGCTGTTAACCTTGTTGTTATGGCGACAGACTTAAGTAAGATGGTGGTAGCTAGCCAGGCGAACTTAGAAGAAACCCCACCACCAACCAAACCGAACAAAAAATCTGCCCCCACTGGGGATCGAACCCGGGACCTCAGCGTCTGCAGAAGGTATAATTATCAGAATATTGAAATTTATTTTTTTTAATGCTGAAAATAACTTAAAGTCATTGCAGCATCAGCGAATGCCTTCTCACTCCAAATCTTTGTTTTATCCACAACAAGAAGCTCTTGGCCTGCATCTTATTTGATGGAACTCTAAGCCTGCGATCAGGACAATCACTTAAAAGGAAAATATGTGCTTACAAATTGATGGTCCATAGCAAAGCAGCTTCAAATTAGCCTGTGCAATTAGGACGTGGAGGGTAGACGTAGACCCGTTCCCCCACTGCAGCATGAGGCGCGGGCCGCCGCTCCACGCGCTCTCCGCGCCTAAGATTAAGAAGTAACTGCTCACTAGAGCAGACAATACTCACAGATGGATGGTCCATAGCACAGCAGCTTCTGGTTAGCCTGTGCAATTAGGACGTGGAGGGTAGACGTAGACCCGTTCCCCCACTGCAGCACCAGCGACAGTCCTCAGCCCCAAGTGTTCTCTAAGCCTAAGATTAAGAAAGTACGCCTTACTCAATAAGAAAAATACTTACAAATAGATGGTCCATAGCAAAGCAGCTTCAAATTAGCCTGCGCAATGAGCACGTGTATGGTAGACGTAGACCCGTTCCCCCACTGCAGCATGAGACGCGGGCCGCCGCTCCACGCGCTCTCTGCTCCGGCCGGCGCTTCGCCCTCGGCCTCCTGGCTGTCCTCGTCTTGAGGGTCGTCCTTGAGGGCGCGGACCTGTGATTGAGAGCATTGAGTAAAGATCGGCTTGTAATAACAATGAAGTATTGGTTAATATTTTCTTCTACATAATAAGGAGTTAAAACGATTTCTTCAGCAATATTTTCAATGTCAGATTCAAACTGTTAACGACAGTGTTCTCTGTGGATTGGACTGGTATGTGACGTAATTTAGTCGAGTAACAAGTTATTTAGTAGCTAAACGTGCCTGAACACCAAAAAACTAGTCGAGTAGATTACAATCGATTAGTCAAGTCAATCCATTTTGCTCTATTTTGACAGGCGAGTAGCATTTTCCACCATCTCCTACTTTACCTCCCAGCGGTGCACTAATTACTTATAAATTGTACACATCCAAAGTTCAAACGGTTTTTGTTCAGTAGTGATTAGTTTAGTTATTTTATTAAAGGCGAGTTGTTTTACTAAATTACTCGACTAGTGCGAACAAGGCTTAAGTGATATTTGGTCTACTGATTGTGCCAGGCCTGTTCATCTCCGCGAGTTTACATCGAAAACAAAACACGCACAATGGCCCACCTACAGGATACTATTCGACAAGGCCTCACATACGAGCGAACATTGACTCACGCACGCGTATTCTTGTGTATGATGGAAGAAAATAAAGAAAATGGTGTACTAAATACTGTGCAGTATTTAACTGCCTGAATAATAATAAAAACACAGAATGTACTTTTTTAAGTTGCCTCAAGACACTGAGAGGTAAATAAGTAGTTAATATTATTCATGATAATTCATGCTAAATCATGTATTTCCTCCGCCATTTTCCGCAGTTTGGCACCTCACGTCACATCATTTTACCGAAGTCAGCCCTATAGCTTCGGCGCAGTGCCGATCACTGAGGTTTGTCAACAAAATGGTGCTTGACTCTTGAGACAGGCTAAATTACACCATATTGTTAATGACATTGAGCATACATATTTTTAAATACCTTCGCGAAGTAAAACTTCTGTACGTAGTACTTATTATTATTCTGTGATTGTGCTGGCACGTGACGTCATGTTTAACTTACCGCGCGCATATGCGCGTGCAGTATGGCGGTGAGCGCGTGCAAGGCACGATGTTGCGCGCGCTGCGGCGCGGGCGCGGGCTCGCGCTGCTCGGCCGGCGGCAGCACGGCCTGCATCACCGTCGTGCGCTCCATCAGCACTTGGCTGAGGTCCTGTGGGAGAGAGGGTGCTGTGGGTTAGGGAATACGACATTAAGGCCGCTTCCTGACTTGACGGTGCGGTATCGGTACCATTTCGTTTCGATATACCGCATCGGTCGCGCCTATATTTGAATGCACGCTTCCTGATTGGCGCGGCATGTGCGGCAGCGGCGCGGCACAGTCTCAATCAGGAACGCTCCATTGAAATATAGGCGCTCGGTAAGCTCTCGGTACCGCGTATACAGAGTATACCAATGCCGCGCCACTAACGCACCTACAAGTCAGGAAACGGCCTTAAGAGCCTCCGCTGGAACTGATATAGGCACACAACAACAGCGTACTGTGACGCGCATGTGTGTCACAATATTTAGCATAGGCCCTTATGGATTTCATACAGCAGTAAAATATACTAAAATAAACTAAAATTCGAATCATTTAAAGTTTTTCTATCTATCTATAATTTTTTTAATATTCACAATGCTCCAGCGCTGCGTACGCCAGGTATGCAACATTTATACGTTGCAGTTGCTCAGACATGCTAACACTTCTCCGCAGTCTTGTACGATCTTTGAAAAACTTGCGCTCATAGCTTATGGCTCATCATAAATATACGTTTTCTAAACAAGCCAATAATTGTTGTTTCAACATTGCATGTGTGTTTCTGAACTGTAACGATTTCATCTAACAATAACTGCAATCTCTGGTAGAGTGCCGCAAGGTACAAGGTAACCCATCACTCACCAGCACCAGGCACTCCGCCAGGCACGCGGCGCGGATGCGGACCACTACTGCTCGGACCGCGGTCCGTGACCGGCTGCCATCACTCACCAGCACCAGGTCGGTGGCGGGCCGCGGCGGGCCGGCCTGGTGGTGGCGCGCCAGGAAGCCGAAGTACGCCGCCACGTAGCGCGGCACGCACTCCGCCAGGCACGCGGCGCGGATGCGGACCACTACTGCTCGGACCGCGGTCCGTGACCGGCTGCCATCACTCACCAGCACCAGGTCGGTGGCGGGCCGCGGCGGGCCGGCCTGGTGGTGGCGCGCCAGGAAGCCGAAGTACGCCGCCACGTAGCGCGGCACGCACTCCGCCAGGCACGCGGCGCGGATGCGGACCACTACTGCTCGGACCGCGGTCCGTGACCGGCTGCCATCACTCACCAGCACCAGGTCGGTGGCGGGCCGCGGCGGGCCGGCCTGGTGGTGGCGCGCCAGGAAGCCGAAGTACGCCGCCACGTAGCGCGGCACGCACTCCGCCAGGCACGCGGCGCGGATGCGGACCACTACTGCTCGGACCGCGGTCCGTGACCGGCTGCCATCACTCACCAGCACCAGGTCGGTGGCGGGCCGCGGCGGGCCGGCCTGGTGGTGGCGCGCCAGGAAGCCGAAGTACGCCGCCACGTAGCGCGGCACGCACTCCGCCAGGCACGCGGCGCGGATGCGGACCACTACTGCTCGGACCGCGGTCCGTGACCGGCTGCCATCACTCACCAGCACCAGGTCGGTGGCGGGCCGCGGCGGGCCGGCCTGGTGGTGGCGCGCCAGGAAGCCGAAGTACGCCGCCACGTAGCGCGGCACGCACTCCGCCAGGCACGCGGCGCGGATGCGGACCACTACTGCTCGGACCGCGGTCCGTGACCGGCTGCCATCACTCACCAGCACCAGGTCGGTGGCGGGCCGCGGCGGGCCGGCCTGGTGGTGGCGCGCCAGGAAGCCGAAGTACGCCGCCACGTAGCGCGGCACGCACTCCGCCAGGCACGCGGCGCGGATTCGGACCACCACTTCTGCTCGGACCGCGTTCCAGTGGCGAAGCTCCCACAGAAGGCCCAGCCATTCGCTGCGGGTGATGGTGAATACAATAAAACCAAGAGCGAGACAAACTTGGATAAGAGGAGTTTCCTGCCATCATACAGTCAGCGTCAAATAGTTCGTGACACCCAAAGTTCAAAACACGTCTTTGTTACAATTGGATTAAGGTTGTGTTATCAACTTTTTGGCCACTTTGGGTGTCATGAATTATTTGACGCTGACTTTACACGAATTAACCTCATATTTTCATTATTAAAATCGAACATAAAAGGCTAAAAAGTAAAAATTCATTTTTTACATCCATCCATCTGTGTAATCGGTAATGTTAAAAAAAAAAACTCACTCTGGGCTGACGTCAGCGTTGTAGTCCATTTCGATCGATTCATCTGTCGATTGTGTAAGCACCAATTTTAACCCCTGCAGCAAAAACAAAAGAGTTAATATTATTTTATTTATTTAAGGCATAGCTGCAGAGAACAAACATGATTTTAGATTTCATTCATTTTTAACGAATTCGTTTCGTTTCAGCCACAAGTCGACAGCTGAACAAAGGCCTCCCCTAAGGATTTCTATAACGACCGGTCCTGGTTTTTCCAAGTACTTCCCGCGACTTTCACCAGATCGTCGGTCCACCTGCCTACCTACACTACGTCTTTCGGCCCGTGGTTAGAACTTAATCGGTTATCGTCGACCAACGAATTATTTTTGGTAAGTTGCTGATTTTTGTTTTTAAGAATTACGCTAGGGTTGAGCCTTAGATTTCCCCACTGACCCTGGAAGCCGAAGCCCTAGTGGGCGCGTGCGGGTGTGCCAAGCGCTGTAGGTAGTAGTGCAGCACAGCGCGCGCGCCCGCCTCGCTGTCCGCCACTGTGCGTCGCAGATGCGCGCATAGTTCTCCAGCTTTCCCTGCCTCTCCCGCCCCGCCAGCGCCTCCCCCCGCGGAGAGAAACTCGCAGAGACACTGCACTGGTAGGACGCTGGAAAAATAATACCATGTCAAGACGCTGCTGGGATTCTTTAGCTGAGTGTGAAGCATCATTTTAGGCAATTTTGTTTTTATTAAGTTTCGTCAACGAAATCATAATGTAAAGATGTCTCATTCAGTTAAGTGCTCAATTTTATTTAAACTGAAGGGAAGCTAAAACCCGGTCGCCGAGCACGTAGAATTTCGTCCAATGACCCCAAGCTATCCAACCTTATCGCTCGCGCATAATTACATTGCTGTCGCTGTGGCGTGCTCGGCGACCGGTCAATCATCATTTCATGCACAGGACGTTCACTGCTGAATATAAACCTCCCCCATGAATTCCATATTGCCAGGTTGGTAGCGGCTTGCATCCAGCGCTTTCCTGCTACTTTTATTAGGTCTTCGGTCCAGTCGGTCTGGTCAATAGCTGCGTCCACCCTGGGCCTCGCGAACCAAGTTTGTTATCCTGCTCGCTCAAGAACAGGGTAAGCAGAATGACTCGCTCGCTAGTCCATGAGCCCGGTGCTAAATCATCTCGCATTCAGCAGCAGGCGGCCCGTGCTGTCCCGGCCGGTTACCTCAGCTCCAGGCGGTCGTGGCGCAGCAGCTGGTGCAGCCAGGGCATGGCGCGGCGCGTGCCGTGGCGCTCCACCAGCTCGAGCAGCAGCGCGGGCTGGCGGCCCAGCAGGCGGCCCGTGCTGTCCCGGCCGGTTACCTCAGCTCCAGGCGGTCGTGGCGCAGCAGCTGGTGCAGCCAGGGCATGGCGCGGCGCGTGCCGTGGCGCTCCACCAGCTCGAGCAGCAGCGCGGGCTGGCGGCCCAGCAGGCGGCCCGTGCTGTCCCGGCCGGTTACCTCAGCTCCAGGCGGTCGTGGCGCAGCAGCTGGTGCAGCCAGGGCATGGCGCGGCGCGTGCCGTGGCGCTCCACCAGCTCGAGCAGCAGCGCGGGCTGGCGGCCCAGCAGGCGGCCCGTGCTGTCCCGGCCGGTTACCTCAGCTCCAGGCGGTCGTGGCGCAGCAGCTGGTGCAGCCAGGGCATGGCGCGGCGCGTGCCGTGGCGCTCCACCAGCTCGAGCAGCAGCGCGGGCTGGCGGCCCAGCAGGCGGCCCGTGCTGTCCCGGCCGGTTACCTCAGCTCCAGGCGGTCGTGGCGCAGCAGCTGGTGCAGCCAGGGCATGGCGCGGCGCGTGCCGTGGCGCTCCACCAGCTCGAGCAGCAGCGCGGGCTGGCGGCCCAGCAGGCGGCCCGTGCTGTCCCGGCCGGTTACCTCAGCTCCAGGCGGTCGTGGCGCAGCAGCTGGTGCAGCCAGGGCATGGCGCGGCGCGTGCCGTGGCGCTCCACCAGCTCGAGCAGCAGCGCGGGCTGGCGGCCCAGCAGGCGGCCGAGGCGCAGCTGTCCGCTCAGCGCTTGCAGCGTCTCCAGCACGCCGGCTGGTGGCTTGCGCGCCGGGCCCAGCGGGTCCATGGTTGTGAGCTGAGGGAGACAATAAACTTTATTAAAAAGTGCAATGTTGCTTTCTTAAGCTTCTGGCATATAACCTGCGCAAGCGCAGCGTAATACTTTGACTCTAACTGACAGCCCTAAGCTCGTGTGTAACAATATAGCTTTGCTTACATATGGCACCACTATAGTCTGGTCGCTGAGCACATAGAATTTTGTCCAATGACCCCAAGCTACCTGTGACTGTGCGACGGGCGGCAGCAGTGAGTGTGCGAGCCCGACAGCAATATAATTACGCGCGAGCGATAAGGATGGGTAGCTTGAGGTCATTGGACAAAATTCTACGTGCTCAGCGACCAGACTTTAATAAACTGAAATATTTTTGAGAACTGTCAATTTGTCGTATCCCCTTGTACCTGGCTAAGCAGACGCGAGGAGTGTTCAGTGAGCGGCAGCTTGGCGTTAGAAGCGGCCGCCAAGTGTGTCTCCAGCTGCAGGATGGCGGCACGCTCGGCCTCCGCTCGCTCCGCCTCTGCCGCTGGGTTGGTGTTCCACTCTATGCTCGGTTTTCTGAAGGGCATAGATTATGAAACTTATTTTAAATCTATACTAATATTATAAAGAGGAAAGATTTGTACCTATTTTTGTATGTTTGAAATGAATAGGCTCAAAAACCACTGAACGGATTTTGATGATACTTTACAGTATTATTGTTCATAATCCAGAATAACATATAGGCTATAATTTATGACGATCTGTGACAAACGAAATTTCACGCGTGCGAAGCCGCGGGCGGAAAGCTAGTGGGTTATACATAAATGCAGATTGTCCCAAAATTAACATGTCACACTAACACTAGAGATAGATAAGCCTAAGTGCATCTTCAAATTAGACGCATAAGGAAGCGCAGTGACGCTACTGTAGTTTACAATACTAGTTTTCATGCAATATCTAGAAGCACAACAGCCGCACGTCTTAGTTACACTGTCACTTCCGTAGTGGCGCTGCAACTGCGCATTTAAAATTGTATGTAAATTATGAGTGACGCAACAAGCTCGCCACAATGCTGCCACTGCAGCGCTTCCTCGCACGTCTAATTTGAAGGCGCCCTTCTTTTTTTTTGTGCCGACAACAAACCTACACAGTGTCAGCCCAAAACTCCGCCACAAGAGTGGCGTTGTCAGCAGCATTCATCAAATCCTCCTGAATGCAGTTGCTTGGGCACTCAGGGCACGACAGAAGGTGCGTCCTAAGACACATATTCAGAGACGTGCTAATTTTGAGACACCCTGGATAAAAAAAAAATATCTCTCCGTGTTGAGCTATATTTTTTAAAAGTGGTGGCGACAGCTAGCTAAAATGATGATGATGATGCTGGCATGCTGACTGACCCGGTGATGCACGTCTCGATGAGCGCTCGCAGCGTGGGGTAGGTGGCGGCGGCTCGCTCGGCGAAGGACTGCGGGTTGTGTGCCGCCAGCATCGCCAGCAGCACCCAGCCGCGCCAGTACAGCGATGTGATGGCCAGCGCGGGAGGCGTGTACCTGGTGGAAAGATCAGTGCCATTGAAAGAAAGAAACATTTATTGCCATGGACATCACAAAAGATAAAAGATGTAAAAAAAAAAAAGCAAATAAGACAGAGGTGACATAAAACATACAATGAAAGACAGGGTTCGAGGATATATATCAAGGGATTATCAAGCCGGTTTTGATGATATATATCAACTTTTAAAATTTGTAACTGTATTTGTACTTTTTGACATAAGATTTTGTTTTTTTTTTGTTGATTTTGCCGTATTTAAAAGAATATTTTATGTTTTTGCTTTATTTGTCTGATTTTAAGTTTAAAAACATTAAAAACATGTTTATGTAACACATATGCAATATTATTCATGAATAATACAATAAAATAATACTATGGCTTTCATACAAAATTGATATATATCAAAGTTGATATATATCGGATATATATCATAAATATCCGATATTTTCATATTTATAATAAATATCGGATATTTTCGAACCCTGATGAAAGAGCAAGTAAACTAAACAGTGCCACCCTGTCGCACAGCGATGCCCATCGCAATGGGACCCCACATATGCCGTGGCCCCCGGTGAGGGAGGCCACGACGCTGGTTTTCAGTGTGCCCCATGCCGAGTGAGAGTCACGGACACTAACCGACTAACTAACCATTGGTTAGTGAGGGCACTTGCCAGTTGATGTCAATCTGGTGAGTGAGACCCTGATACTCGCCAGCTAGCGGCATTGACAAATCGAATAAATGTCACTCGTCAGTTGGCGCCGTCGCGTCGTCGAATAAGTTCCTGTCACTAAAGCCTGGTCCGTGAGCACGTAGAATTTTGTCCAATGACCCCAAGCTACCCATCCTTAAGTGCCACTTGTGGTCTAAACTGAATAAATACTTTTGATTTTTGATTTTTTTTTTATTTTCTTATCGCTCGCGCGTAATTATATTGCTGTCGCGACTGTGTGACGGGCGGCCGCAGTGAGTGTGCGAGCGCGACAGCAACATAATCATTGGTCAAAATTCTACGTGCTCACGGACCAGGCTTTAGTCAGTTGCCGCCACTGGCGAACAAGTCCTTGCACTCGTCAGTTGACGTCATTAGCGAGTTTAGTTTAGTGACTCGAAGATTGGGGTCAGTTAGGGGCAAGTTAAGTCCTGTCACTCGTCAGGTGCCACTAGCGAGGCCCTGTTAAAACTCAGTTGGCACAATAGGCTTTTCGCCCAAATTTCAATAATTAGTTAATAATATACCTTGATGCCTATTTTATACAAATGCGCTCTTATTTTGGAAAAAAATCTCATCTCCAAGGATTATTTTGCATTTTCAATAATATTTGACATATAGCCCTCAAAAACGCTCACGACCGTCATGGCGTCTTGAATGACGTCACGCCTTGCAAAACACAGCTGTTTTAGTACGGAAATTGTAAAGTTAAATTAATTACAAATGGATCCATCGTATTTCAAGTCCTGTATAGTGCCCCAATGTACATGCACAAGAATAAAAACGCCAAATAAGTTATTTATAGGTATACGTACCAAACAATCAGCAGATACGTAAAATATGATGTCCATTGTTTATCAACAAAATCAAGGATGTATTTTTGTGAAGATCATTTCAATGTAAGTTAGATATTTCACACAACATAATCTGATATCATGTACCTACATATTATAATGAAATTGTTGAATTTTGTTTAAGAATAATGATAACAACAAAATGAGGTTAGGAACTATTCATGACATATTTACCAACAAACTTCACTTTTTTACTTTTTTTTTTATAGAAATTCACGGCTCTGGGTCAAGACTTCACATGAAGAAAAGTGTTGCCAGTCGGGTCTTGTCAGAAATTACCAGAAATGTAAAAAAATGTAACCTATTTTTAAAATGTACTCTCTCATCTTATTCATAAATGGGAAACTATAGTATTATTATACTATTTATATCACTTAGTTCTACTGTACAGTACCTATATCTAACATTATTTGCCAAAACTCGAGACATAATGTAAAATTATTTGTTGAGCCTTATAAAGAAATAATATCTACAAATTTCGAAAAATCACCTAAACGGTTACAAAAATAACCTTCTAGCAACACTCAAATGTTGGCAATGACAATCTGGCCTAAAAGGGCTCGCACCCAGAGCCGTAAAAAACTATATTTAAAAAGATAGAAAAAATGACGTAACGCTTTTTGATTGGTGTTTGCTGTCACGTGACTTATGGGCCATTTTTTCCGAATTTATTTGCTAAAAATATAAATAATCTTTAATTATTATTTTATGTAGTTTCGTTTTTCATTAATTATACGACTATCTTAATAGTTATACAATCTTATACTGCAGATTTATTCACTAAGGATACAAGCCTATTGGCGAGAAGTTTTGTCATTAGCCACTTAGCGCAAACAGCGATATGTTCTTCGGTTGTGACAGTAGATGGCATCCGGTGACACGTGGTCATAAAAATAGATCAAAATATCAGGATAAATATAACTATATCAAATCTACCTAAGCATTGATTCATCCTACTAATATTATAAATGCGAAAGTTTGGATTTCTGGATGTTTGTTACTCTTTCACGCAAAAACCACTAAATGGATTTTGATGAAACTTTACAGTGTTATTGTTTATGAATATCATATTTAGGACGATGTGACAAACTAAATTTCACGCGGGTGAAGCCGCGGAAAAAAGCTAGTCCCGCAAATATGACAAGACAACACCATTAAGTCCAGATCAATTTTCCCTCAACTCACCCGGCAGGCAGCGTGATGTTCTCTGGCGGGGAGAACTGGCACAGCTGGAACACATATTCGGCCAGCTCGAGCTTGTCCACGTGCAGCGGGTTGTCTTCAGGCGGCAGGGCGCAGGCTCTTCGTACCAACTGCTCTACTAGTTCTAGGGCTTCGGCCGGAGCCACTGGAATGTCCTGGGAGGAAAAACTGATAGGTGGGAGCTGTTCGGATACATAATCTAAGTAATGATTATAATCATCATTCATTATTTCAGCCACAGGACGTCCACTGCCGAATAATTTCCAGATTTGCCGGTTGGAAGCGGGCTACATCCAATGCTTTCCTGCAACTTTTATAAAATCATTTGTTCACCTTGTGGGCGAATGTTCTACGTTGCGCTTGCCGGTACGTGGCCTCCATTTCAGAACCTCGGTATCCCATGCTCGGCCGTGAGTACTACGGGATATTACCGGTTACCGGGACGGTTTTGCACTACGTCGGTAGTGACGGGTTTCCAAACGCGCGGTTAGGGGCGGGCGCGTACGTCGCAAGGGTGCATTAATAGGACGCACGCAGTAGGCACCCGCGCCGTAAAGCGCTGGCCTGCGTCGAATGTTTATGCTGATCCAAAGTTGTACACCTGCACAAGTTTTAGCGTACAGGTAAACAGCTCTCACAAGGCTCGATACAGGGCCGGCCCTCGCACCTTGGACAGCCCGATGAAGGCGGTGGGCCAGCGCGCGCTCGCACTCCGGCGGCCAGTTGTCCGCCTTGCTGTCCGCCTGCTCTCCACGAACATCATCCGACACAGACACTGCGCAGTACCTTGGACAGCCCGATGAAGATGATGCGCAGCAGGTTGTGCTGCGGCAGCGGCGCCTCGCAGCACACGCGGTGCGCCAGCGCGCGCTCGCACTCCGGCGGCCAGTTGTCCGCCTTGCTGTCCGCCTGCTCTCCACGAACATCATCCGACACAGACACTGCGCAGTACCTTGGACAGCCCGATGAAGATGATGCGCAGCAGGTTGTGCTGCGGCAGCGGCGCCTCGCAGCACACGCGGTGCGCCAGCGCGCGCTCGCACTCCGGCGGCCAGTTGTCCGCCTTGCTGTACGCCTCCGCGCTCTCCACGAACATTATCTGACACAGACACGTTCATTATGTATTTTATATCTTCAATAAGGTTTTTTTTAAGGGACGCGCGCTCGTAACTTGGAGCGCTTTTCCAGCTTCACCGGGCAGAGTGGCGAGTACAGAAGGTACTCTAACCGTTTGGCGATCGTCGGTCGCAGACCGACGGGCCGTATCGAGCGCATAAGGCGCCTGATCAGTGGCGAACCCAACTAAAGCCCGGACCGTGAGCACGTAGAATTTTGTCCAATGACCCCTAGCTACCCATCCTTATCACTCGCGCGTAATTAAAATAATTCCAACAGTAATCAAAACGAGTTCAAAGAACGAATTTGACTATGACGGAGACTGAATCGAGTCGTGATCAATGTTAAGCTTCATGTAGTGTTTTGAGTTAATGATAGATGGCGCTGTGTGTAGGTTGATTGCGGTATATAAGATTTTGAAGGCTACCTAAGTAAACTCCGACAAACGTTACTTCCGACAAAGGATATTCGCCTTTGTCTAAGTGTAGTGTGTGTCGAAGTAAAGTCATGTCGATATTCAGTAGTATCGTAGTAACGTAATGTCGAAGTAACGTTTGTCGGAGTAGCATTTTATAGCCGATTTTGACGGCCCACACATATTATTGTCAATCTTGTTTCGGAATAAATGAGACTTGCCACTGGAATCTTCGTTTTATTCAAGTGACTACCTGTGGGCTTTTTGATACTTGTACAAGTGGTGCTGTACCTTGGCACCTTGGATGGCCACGTGGCGACCTAGACGGCCACGTGGCGCCCTATATGGCCACGTGGCGCCCCCGTGTGCTGCGTACCTTGTTGAGCGCCAACTGGAAGTCGTGGCTCGAGGGCCGGTAGACGGGCACGGCGGTGTCGAGCAGCCAACCGAGCGCGGCACCCTGGACGGCCACGTGGCACCCTGGAATGCCACGTGGCGCCCTATATGGCCACGTGGCGCCCCCGTGTAGCGGCGTACCTTGTTGAGCGCCAGCTGGAAGTCGTGGCGGGAAGGCCGGTAGACGGGCACGGCGGTGTCGAGCGCGGCGCCCTGGATGGCCACGTGGCGCCCTATATGGTCACGTGGCGCCCCCGTGTAGCTGCGTACCTTGTTGAGCGCCAGCTGGAAGTCGTGGCGCGAGGGCCGGTAGACGGGCACGGCGGTGTCGAGCAGCCAGCCGAGCGCGGCGCCCTGGATGGCGCTGAGCTGTGCGCGGAACTCGGGCACGTGCTTGCTGTGCGAGCCCGTCACCAGGCAGCAGCAGCAGAACAGGTCCGCCAGGGATGTGAACGCGCGCTCGCGCACCTGAAACAATCACAATTCATTACAATTATAGTAAAATCGGAATGACCTTAGTTTTCGAGCAAGTTTCTAATAACCAGGCCTGTTCGTCTTCCCGAGTAGGTATCGAAATCAAAACTCGCACGCCGTACCCGCCGGCAGGTTTAATCCGACTCTGACGAGGGATCATCACGATCAAGCTGTGAAGCGGGAAGCGGGAGCGAACACTTCGTCCATTGTAAAAAAAAATACTGTCACAGTTAAACACGGTCAAGAGTGCACGCCTTTATAAACTAACATCTGCAGCGGGTTCATGCAGCGGCGGCTGCGCCAACGCCCTCGCAAGCGGCAGCAGCGCCTGCGCATCTGCTCTTGCTGCTCTTACACATTCCCTCGTCAGCGCTCGCAGCGGCCGAAGATAATCTTCAGGCCTTAGCAGCAATTCGTGGTAGGTGTCGTAACCCTAAGACTGCGGTTTCCGCATCACAATGCTTACTATAGAAATGCATGGTGGTGGTCTCTTACAGACGTTGATGGCGTATAGCGTTTAATAGGAGATCGTAGCCTAAGGAACCAACATCGGCAGCGGGTTCGTGCGGCGGCGGCTGCGCCAGCGCTCTCGCAAGCGGCAGCAGCGCTTGCGCATCTGCTCTTGCTGCTCTCACGCACTCCCTCGTCAGCGCTCGCAGCGGCCGCAGATAATCTTCAGGCCTTAACAGCAGCTCGTGGTAGGTGTCTAACAGCGCTTTCACATTTAAGCGACTTTTGCGCAAACACACGATAGTCACGTTGCTAATAATTTCATACTATATTACAGCGCTGCAGCATTTTTTATTATTTGAAAGCCTTAACGCCTATTGAACCAACCTCAGCGGCAGGCTCATGCGGCGGCGGCTGCGCCAACGCCCTCGCAAGCGGCAGCAGCGCTTGCGCATCGGCTCTTGCTGCTCTCACACATTCCCTCGTCAGCGCTCGCAGCGGTCTAAGGTAATCTTCAGGCCGCAGCAATAATTCGTGGTAGGTGTCGTAACCCTTAGGCTATGCGCAATTGCGCATGGGTGACTTTACACCGTGACAGTATGACTATCTTTTTCTGTTTATAAAAGTGTAAAAAAGAAAGATATACTGTCACGGTGACAAAAGGCACTCTTTCGCGTGCGCTTTTGTAAACTAACCTCAGCGGCGGGCTCATGCGGCGGCGGCTGCGCCAACGCCCTCGCAAGCGGCAGCAGCGCTTGCGCATCGGCTCTTGCTGCTCTCACACATTCCCTCGTCAGCGCTCGCAGCGGCCGCAGATAATCCTCTGGCCTTAACAATAATTCGTGGTAGGTGTCAGCCATAGCAGCGGGCACCAGCTGCGGCTGCGCCTGGATGAGCGCGGCGAGCACGGCCATGTTGTTGGGCGACCTAAGATAGTTAGATAGGCCTAACATAGTCTTCTGGCCTTAGCAGCAGCTCGTGGTAGGTATCTAACATAGCTTTCGCATTTAGGCGACTTGTGCGCAAACGTACGACAGTCGCGTTGCTAATAATTCCATACCAACTGCTGAAAAAACTGCTGAGTTTTTATTATTTGAAAGCCTTAACTCCTATTGAACCAACCTCAGCGGCGGGCTCATGCGGCGGCGGCTGCGCCAACGCCCTCGCAAGCGGTAGCAGCGCTTGCGCATCGGCTCTTGCAGCCCTCACACATTCCCTCGTCAGCGCTCGCAGCGGCCGCAGATAATCCTCTGGCCTTAGCAGCAGCTCGTGGTAGGTGTCTAACAGCGCTTTCACATTTGTGCAGGACAACCCACGATAGTCGCGTTGTAAATAAATTCATGCTACATGACAGCGCAGCAGCAGTTTTTATAATGTGAAGGTAGGCATCCACTGCTGCTGTACTGCTGTCGCGCTTCTGACGCCTTTAATGCCTATCGCACTAACCTCTCTTGCTGCTCTCACGCACTCCCTCGTCAGCGCTCGCAGCGGCCGAAGATAGTCTTCAGGCCTTAGCAGCAGCTCGTGGTAGATGTCGTAACCTTTAGGCTATGCGCATGGTGACTTTTCACCGTGACAGTATGACTCTCTTTTTCTCTTTATAAAAGTGTAAAAGAGAAAGATATACTGTCATGGTGACAAAAGGCACCCTTATGCGCGCGCTTTTGTAAACTAACCTCAGCAGCCGGTTCATGCGGCGGCGGCTGCGCCAACGCTCTTGCAAGCGGCAGCAGCGCTTGCGCATCGGCTCTTGCCGCCCTCACACATTCCCTCGTCAGCGCTCGCAGCGGCCGCAGATAATCCTCTGGCCTTAACAATAATTCGTGGTAGGTGTCAGCCATAGCAGCGGGCACCAGCTGCGGCTGCGCCTGTATGAGCGCGGCGAGCACGGCCATGTTGTTGGGCGACCTAAGATAGTTAGATAGGCCTAAGATAGTCTTCTGGCCTTAGCAGCAGCTCGTGGTAGGTATCTAACATCGCTTCACATTTAGGCGACTTGTGCGCAAACGTACGACAGTCGCGTTGCTAATAATTCCATACTCTATGACAGCGCGGCAACTGCTGAAAAAACTGCTGAGTTTTTATTATTTGAAAGCCTTAACTCCTATTGAACCAACCTCAGCGGCGGGCTCATGCGGCGGCGGCTGCGCCAGCGCCCTCGCAAGCGGCAGCAGCGCTTGCGCATCAGCTCTTGCGGCCCTCACGCATTCCCTCGTCAGCGCTCGCAGCGGCCGCAGATAATCTTCTGGCCGCAGCAGTAATTCGTGGTAGGTGTCGTAACCCTTAGGCTATGCGCAATTGCGCATGGGTGACTTTTCACCGTGACAGTATGACTATCTTTTTCTGTTTATAAAAGTGTAAAAGAGAAAGATATACTGTCACGGTGACAAAAGGCACTCTTTCGCGTGCGCTTTTATAAACTAACCTCAGCGGCGGGCTCATGCGGCGGCGGCTGCGCCAACGCCCTCGCAAGCGGTAGCAGCGCTTGCGCATCTGCTCTTGCTGCTCTCACACATTCCCTCGTCAGCGCTCGCAGCGGCCGCAGATAGTCTTCTGGCCTTAGCAACAACTCGTGGTAGGTGTCAGCCATGGCGGCGGGCACCAGTTGCGGCTGCGCCTGGATGAGCGCAGCGAGCACGGCCATGTTGTTGGGCGAGCGCACGTTGGACAGCTCGTTGTAGATCGTGTGCGTCACTACGCTACGCAGCAGCGCGGGACTGTCTGACACCATCTCCCTGCGGGCAGGTGAAGTTGACTTGAATTCAGGGTTCGAGAGGATAATTATCACGATAATTATCATGATAATTATCTTGATAATAATTATCACGATAATTATCATGATAATTATCTTGATAATACAGATGGATAATTATCAGTTGATAATAACAAAAAAAATGCACTCGTAAAAGTGAACTGTATTTCAAGTTTTCAAACTCGTGTGGACTGTGGTGGACGTTATTTAACATATATAGTTCTAAAACATATCTATTTAGCTCCATAACGATCACTCGTTAACTAGCGTCATAATATTTATCTATTTTCCACAACGCTTTATGCGACTAGCGATGGATAACTTGACGACAATCAGTAACAAAAAACATAAAGCAACATTCTCAATGTAACATTAGAATTTCTTATGAAACAAATATGACAAATGTATCTTATACTGTTGATTATTATCACGAAGCGTAATTATCTTGATAATTTCGATCCCTGCTTGAATTGCTTGTGATACTCATAACGGAAAAGTGAGGCATATCCATCAGTATTAGAGGATTATACTGATGTATCAAAGGGACTTATTGGAAATGATATTGACAAATAGAGCAGATGGAATCTTGGTGTTGATAACTTTGGCTAGAATGTAAGTAGGGTAGGTTTATGTTGCAACTTCAAGCAGGCCTAGTAGACAACCTGCAGCACAGTACAGTACAGTACCTCAGGCAGGCCTGGTAGGCGGCCTGCAGCGGCTTGGTCTTGAGCCGCATGCGCGCCAGCTGCGCCAGCACCTCGTGGTCGCGGGCCGCGGTGGGCCCGCAGGCGTCGGCGTTGCAGCACACGTAGGCCAGAAGCTCCTGGGCGCAGCGCCACAGCTTGCCCGAGTGCAGCCACGCTTCCAGCCGGGATGCGGATATCATGCGGATCTGCGGGTGCGAGAGAAGTCTCAAGGTGGTGGTTCGTACTGCGCCAGAGACAAGGAACCGAGACGGGAGACTAGGTAATGTATAAGCATCAGTTCACGAGCGAGATAGAGGCCTAATGCTTGTTTTCCTTGATTGATTGAAATTGATTGTATGATTTGGTAATGGTCGCGGACTCCTATTTCGGTTGTCTCTATCGCGGCGTAAACCGCCGCCATCTCAAAAGATTACCAAGAAACAAATTAGTGACCTTGACAATGAAACAGTATCCATTAAATATTTATTCTGTTTCATCAAATTCACCTTATGTACACTGTTGTATGTGCATGTAAGCTTGAAATAAATAATAGGTCAATAAATAAATTCAAACAGATTCAAAGTATTCAATAAATAAATGATTAAAATCATAAATTAATTACCTCCGGAAAACCGCAAGTAGCAGCCAGGAGTTTGAGGAACCCGCGATGGATGGCATCAGGGGCTGCGCGCCGGATTATCTGCTCCTTGATGGCTTCCAGCACCAACGCCTCCACTGTTTCATAGCTACTGGAATATCTGCGCCAAAAGAATACAATGGAGGTGAGCTTTAATTTATTTAAACAGCAAAACAGCAAGACTGGTTTGTGTCACGCGGACTGTCACCGTGCTGTCAGTGCGGATCGCTCCGCACAGCCGATCTGTATGAACTGCTAGGGAGCGGAGCGGTTCCTCCGGACCGCATTACTCTACGCTCTCTAGAAGTTCATACAGATTGGCCGTGCGGAGCGGGTCCGCACCGGATGGTCCGCGTGACACTAAAACCAGCCCAAGTCTAAGCAACATGCACAGAATTAAATTCATTTTGGGAACTGCACATCATGTGTTCTACAATGGTAAGTGGTAAGATTAGATCGTAAATATACAGGGTGGAATTTTGTAATGCCACCTGGAAGGAAAGTACTCTTAATATTGTAGCTAGAAAATTTTTCTCAAAGAAAACATTCCTTTATTTTTGAAAAGAAATAGAACTGCATTCAAAGATTTCCAAAAATTTGCTTGCCACACCCGGGAATCGAACCAACTAAAATCTGTTAAAAATTACACCCTGTATTTTATTACATTGCTCGTTAGGGTTAGGTATAAGGATGAAATCACTCTAACAAACTTGATAAATCAAATGAAAGGAAAACCATGAAAAAATTTCGAAAATCTTTGAATGCAGTTCTCTTTCTTTTCAAAAATAAAGGAATGTTTTCTTTCACTAAAATTTTCTATCTACAGTATTAAGAGTACTTTCCCTCCAGGTGGCATTACAAAATTCCACCCTGTATGTTTAATGTGAGACTCACCTCGGAAATACGGAATACTCTAGTTCGGTATTATCAGTGTCATCATCAGTGCTGCCCATCAACGGAGAACCAGAGCCAGAAGGTGACATTGTACCTACAAATTCAAGTTAGTTATCACCTTAATACATACTGGACTATAATATGAAACAAAAAATACACTGTACAATACAAACCAAGCACCATACTGCTTTGCAATTATTATTGCTTACCAAGTGTGTTTTCAGATGGTATGAGGTACGGAGGCGGGTGCTTCGTGTTGAATGCGGTGACGATGTTTTCAACCAAACACTTGCACCAGGAACATTCTACCCACCAGCGCTCATTTAGAGCATCTTCAATATACACCTGCAGACACATAGTAATACATAATCAGTTGCTTGCATATTTAGTTTTATTATTGATTGATTTTGTTTATTTGCAAATATTTGTAGGTTCAAAAGAGATGCGTTGACCGTTTACATGACAAAAAAACATAAAAAAGTGTGTAGAAATTTTTTTTTTGCTTTATTCTATCTGCGATCAGCCATCAGCCTTTATCAGATTAGATGAATTCGCATTAATGTAGAAAATATGAAATACCTTTATAAACGTATCTGGCCAGTTGTTACTCTCTTTGTGCCCTGCGTACAGCATATTGCAAGCCAGCACAAACACCAGCGGGTTCCCCTTGCTCTTGAAAGCCGCTCCTTGCTCTCTCTTCAGGAGTGTACACAAGCTCTGAGTGACGGTCTCATGGGCAAACATGTTGGGACGTATTTTGGTTAGGTAGAGCATACTCATGCAGAGAATCGGGTCCGGTTTAGAGCGCTGGGATTTCAGTAGACGAATCGATCCAGTCAGGAGGCCAAGCTGCAATAATTACATTTAGAAAATATAAAAAGATTCAAACTTTTTAACATAACTTTTATTTTCTTAATTTACCAACCAGTTTGTCAGAGTTGTGTGTGTCCAGGGCCTGTAGCACATTAGGCACCAGGTCCACAGGGTCGACTTCCAGGGAGGTCCCTCCGACAGCCTCTGCAGGAGATCCGATCCTCGCTCTCTTGCTTGGTGGTTGGCTGCCAAAACCAGCGGTCTCACGCTTGCGTTCAACACCTAGGACACATTGATTTTAGTACAAAGGCCAGATTATGCTAATGAAAACCCTGCGGCAGAGGAAGACCGCCTATAAGATGATGACATCCGGCAACAAGCTGGAATAAACTGGATGCAAGCAGGGACAGAAGTCAGTTAAAGGTTGAAGAGGTTTGTGTTCGAAGACGAACCCCAAAGACATAATCAGATCGATAGATGCGATCTAGATTTATTCTAATTTTTGTAAAAGCTAAACAGAGACAACATAACCTCTTACTTACCGCTGGTAGAGGGTTTGTGGATGTTCCGTTTTTCAGAGTCCCTGTTAACGACCACGGTGGACTTGCTGCCCAGCGCGAAGATGTCCTGCGGATGCTGCGGCGCCTTGGACTTGGCGCCGCGGCCCGCAGACGTCATCTTGCCGCGGTCCATCTTGGTTGGGACTTTATGCTTTCGTCAGGTATGCGAACTCATGAAGATGCCTTTAGTTGCGTATCGCCGGAATCTTGAATGAGCAAGGTTCTTCGAGCGAAAAGCTTAGTTACGGATTGGTAACGCCGATAAACAGAAAAAGATTATTCGCAGGAAAATAGCAAACAACAGTTTGTCAGAATTTGACAGTTTGTCCAGTTCCAGTTTGACGTTTGCGGTTTGGCAGTTTTTTTTTCTCAAATAGGTGAAAGCAACGATATGTGCCTCTAAACCAGAGAGCAGAAATAACAGGAGTAGCAGCGCGCGTTTATTTCCATACAAAAAAATTTCGCCATTTCCTGAGGGGGACGAGGTAATGACATTTGTGTAACAGCTGATGGCGCTGAGACACTATCGATATTTTTGTCGATGAGAATCATTGCTCTATGGTTCATAGTCTATGGCTCGTTTAAAAAAATGATATGAATTAATTTATTATCCTATGGGAGATTCAACATTTCAGATCTCTATTTAAAGGAAAATACGCAAAAGTTTGGCATTTCTTCCCTAGCACGAATACGAATTGTGAAAGTTAAGAGTTATATGAAAAAAACTAAAAAGTCATTTATATAGGCTCTTATCTGTAAAATAGCGGGAACTTACTTAACACGTTTATTATGTCAGGGTAAATGTGATAAATTGAAAATTATTAATAATCGCCGGTTATTATGAATAATTCCCGACAGTCGAGGTAAAAGTAATAAATGAATTTACATTTATCAGTGATTATTAATAATGTATTAATACTAACAAATATCATAAAAGAGAACACCTATTGGCAGTATCAAATTGTTTGCATAGAATTTCGATTATATTGTTATAAGTACACTATCCTTAAAATATTACACAATTAGGAATTTTTGCTTTCCAGTCATTCCAGTGGCAACACTTCTAGAAATTTAGTTTTTTGCAAATTTAGTGTATTAATTAATGTGAAATAAATAAAATAATATTTACCGATGGAATGTAATGTTGTCCTTTTCAAGATTTGATGTTTCAGATCTCTTCTTACAATTAAAAACACTGCAATTCACCATTTTTATCGCAGCACGTTACTCTTCAATAGTGACATTTGGAATATGTCATTGGTGGCGCTGCAACTAGTTTTTATAAACTGAGTGAACCACTGGTCTACTTACATTGCTAGAGGGGATTGCCTGTCAGTTCCACTCCTGTTATTTCTGCTCTCTGCTCTAAACAGTTTACATCAAAATATTATTTTAATCTAACAGTCATCACCAAAAGTTAATGAATGGCCAAATTCAGAAATTAAATCTATACACTTTGAATACACAGTTCGATTTCGTGGTAATCTTGGGTATTCACAATCACTTACTTTAAAATCACTTAAATGCTACAAACTACAAAGTCCTAGTTAATGCGAACAAAACTAAAATAAAAACAAAGAAATAATAATTCAACGAAATGTAATTAACAGCACATAACAAACAACGTTTATAATTAATTAACAGTAAAGTCAAACAAAACCAATTTATTTTTATCTTTTAAATCAATATTAAATCAAGTTAAAATTACTTCAACTTCTTATTCTTTGGGTCTGAGCGCTTGCTTTTGAAAAATGTTTTGTCTTGTTTCTTCAAATCATTCTTCACTTGTGAGAGTGAAATTAGATCCTGCAAAGAATATTCAATTAAAAATAGTAAGTATGGATATCAATGAAACAGCAATGTTTTCACAAAATGGTGCATGGCGGCTTGAATTAACTCACATCATTGTTATTGTTGGCCTTATACTTGAGGCCTCCATGTGCCGCTGGCACCCCAGCACGTCTCTTCAGCGAGTTAAGAGGCGTGGGAGCCACGCGTTCGCCGCGCGACAGAGCCTCAAAACGGCGGTTCACCTCTGATGGCTGCAAAATATTAATATTAATTTCAGAAAAAAAATCTCATTTGCTGTTAATTCAAAGACAGATAGTGTAACCTTGAAGGATCTTAGTTTTGCACTACTTTACCACAGAGAGCTTGACCATTGAAAGTCTCGTCGAGCACACCTAGGGTATGATGAGTAGCTATAGCACTCGTGCTTACCCATCTGTTTATAGACCGAGCCTAATGTTACGCTACTACAATTACTACAAATCTTAAAGTTATTCTTCTCTGGGGGTCACAGACACCTCTTCTTTTAAACGATCGTAACTTTGCAAATACAGCAACATCAAGGCTTACGTCAAGGGTATCCCCGTCCATGCTGCCGTCACTGAACAGGCTGAACAGCATGCTGTCCAGCTGCTTGGGCTCGGCGCGGGGTACTGCGAACTGCGGCGTCGGAAGCTTCGGGGATAAATCCTGGAAGAAGAATGTGAATCTTTGGAGATTGAACCTAATTTCTCATTCATATAAACATCATCATTTCAGCTACAGAACTTCCACTATTGAACATATAGATCTCTCCCAAATGGTTTCCAGACTGATCGGCCTTCATCCAGCGCATCCTTTAAGGCAGGCAATTTTTAACCACAAAATAATCTATACAATCTTATAAGATGCTGATGGCTGAAAACAGAATCTGCTACTAAAGCCCGGTCCGGGAGCACGTAGAATTTTGTCCAATGACCCCTAGCTACCCATCCTTATCGCTATTGCTGTCGCGACTGTGCGACTGGCACCCGCAGTGAGTGTGCGAGCGCGATAGCAACATAATTACGTGCGAGCGATAAGGATGGGTAGCTAGGGGTCATTGGACAAAATTCTACGTGCTCCCGGACCAGACTATAACACAAACCTTGGAAGGCGCACACATGACAGCATTGTCGTCTTGCTCGGGAGGCATTCGGTTTGCGGAGGGCAACACTCGCCCGGTCAGCTCCTTCTGAATGTTGTCGATTGTGTTCTGCATGCTCTGGATCTTGTCTTGAAGCCGTTCCTACAGGAATCAGTGATCATTAGAACATCATCAAATTATTTTAAAATTGTCTTTAAAGTTCATGACTTATACCTTCTCAGCGCGGATCTCCAGAATGATGGACATTTGTTTCGAGAGCTCGTCATCTTTGGTCTGAAATTATGGAAAAAATACATTCCGAATTACTTTCCATTAGAAATATAAAGAAAAAGTAGTAGGTAAGTAGGTAGGTAGAAATACGCCTACTTTCCACCAGGATATAATACAAAATAAGGTAATTAAAATTGAGGGTAGAAATGAATCAGCTCTTGCGGTTGGATCCAGATCATCCAGCATTTTGTTTCAGAATTAAAATTTCTAATCTCAAGCAGGAAAAATACATTATGGATAGAAATTACTCAGCTCTGCCATCAGATCTATTGACATGATCTATCGTCAGTTGACCACTAACCCTGACGACGACCTCCAGCTGCTCGACTTGCTTCGATATCCTCTTCTCCCTCTCACTAGCGGCCTCCCTTTCCATCTCGGCCTCCTTGCGGAGCTTCTGTACGCTCAGTTCGAGGCGGCCGCGTGCGTCCGTGGCGGCTTTCAGCTCCGTCATGAGTTGAGCTATGGTGCTCGCCTTCGTGTCTAGTTCCTTGTCTTTGGAGCTGATGGCTTCGGATAGCTCTTTGGTTTGTTGTGAGGATGATGCCCTGGGAAAGGCAAGATAGGTAAGGTATTTACGACCGTTAAACGAGTAAAGGTTCAGCCAAACCAACGCGATCACACGCGATTAGCTGGCGTGCTGGTAGGGCCCAAAAGATAAGGAGACATGTAAAGTGCCCCATAAAGGCTACCTTTTCTTTTTTTATTATTTTCTATAATAATATTTTGACGTTCATAAGTGCCACTTGTGGTCTAAACTGAATAAATACTTTTGATTTTGATTTTTGCAGCGATGGCGATCAGACTTAAATTTAAGTGCATTTATGCATTGATCGCCATCGCTGCACGCCGGCTGATCACAGATGCGACTGATCGCGTGTGATCACGTTGGTTTGACTGAACCTTTAGTTACATGGGAGATGAAGATTGGCTTTGCAAGAAAAGTCTTGCTAAGCTAAGTAACTAAGTAAACTTGGTGCTAAATTATGCATTACATAGTTGGTTCTATTCCAGTCTGATCCTCTAAACCAGTGGTTCTTAACCGGTGGTCCGCGGACCACTGGTGGTCCCTGGAGGCATTCCAAGTGGTCCACGAAGTGCACTTGCACACCTTGGTCAAAACCACTTTTAACTGATTTTTGCAGTCAAACTGGTTTTGACCGATTAATATGAGGTGGTCCCTGACAAGACAGAAATTTGGTAAAATGGTCCCTCATGACTTAAAGGTTAAGAACCACTGCTCTAAACTAAATCGATGTAATGTTCTTTGTTATTTAATATAATGTAGTTAGTTACTATAATTCCATTTAGTAGATAGGTAGGGTACGGTACGGAGTAGGAGCTACGACAACATGCAAAAATAAGATTGAAAACTTACTTCAGTTCGTCCAACTCAGTTTCACGATCTGCTAACTTCTTCTGCATATCCTGCACCTGAGTCTCCAACTCTTGAATACGCTGTGCCTTCGCATCGCAGTCTTCTTTTGATGCAGTCAGATTGGCTACTACCTCTGTATTCGCGACTTCCAATGCAGATAACTGATCCACCAGTTTCTGTATTTCTGCTTCTGAACTCTTTTGAAGCTATTCAACAACATAATTAGGTAAGTAAGCTATTAATTAGTAGCAAATTCAAAAAAACTAAATAATTTAATGTCCTATACTGACCTGATCTTTCTGGGCGATATCATTCCTCAGTTCATCTTGCGTCTCGTTAAGCATGGCCACCACTGTTTTGTAATCTTCATTTTTCTCAGTAGCAGCCTGTAAAATTGCAATTGTTTCACAGGAACTATATAAGGTAAGTTTAAATAAAATAAGTGAGTTTCAGCAGATTTCAAGCAACTAGCTAAATAGTAAGTAAGTATGTCTAAGGATTTATCAATGATCTTTATTTTATACCTGGAGTTTTGCTTCCAAGTCCTTATTAGTGTTGGTCATAGCAATGTTTTCATCCTCTAACGCAGATATCTTCTCCTGAAGCTGGTTGTTCTGGTCGCAGATGCCCTTGGTGAAGGTCTCCTGGTTGCCGAGGGCCTTCTTCAGTGCTTCGTTACTTTCTACTGCTTCTTTGAGTCTAGACAGTGCAATGTGTAGAATAGAATGCTGAATTTTTAACACAAGCGATAAAGTATAAATTCCGAGATAGAGAAAAACAGCTAGGACCGTGAAGAGTAAATACGAATAAATGAAATCTACGTAAGAAGCTACCCCTAAGTAACTCTGTCCCTTTTGGACTCTTACTCTTTTTCCTGTTTCAGCATAGAGCTCTTCATGTCGGAGGCCTGCAAGTTGAACTCGTGGAGCAGTTGTTTCATGTCGTTCTGAAGAGACGTGATCGATTCCTCTTTCTGGAACAAAAATTGGTTTATTAATCTTCTCTCTAGGATCCTTGTTTACCATAAGAGCAACGAATCATCTTCGATCAATTTCGTTTTTATTTTTGAAAATATGTAGTTGGATACGCCAGTTACCAGCTTCTTTCTTGCGTGGTTATGGTTCCACCGCCGTCACCTGCACTCAAGTCTAAGATTAATCAACGTTACCTTCTGCAAGTCATGTTGGTTGAGGTCGAGACTCCTGCGCAGTTCGTTGACGGCTGCTATCAGCTCTTCTTTCTGTGTGGCGGTAGCGGCCAACTTCTGCTTGGTGTCGGCCAGCTCGGCGTCTCCCTGCTGCTGGCTGCTAACAAGTACTGCAAGAGCTGGTTCTAAAGTATAAGATGATCGACAACGTTACCTTCTGCAAGTCATGTTGGTTGAGGTCGAGACTCCTGCGCAGTTCGTTGACGGCTGCTATCAGCTCTTCTTTCTGTGTGACGGTAGCGGCCAACTTCTGCTTGGTGTCGGCCAGCTCTGCGTCTCCCTGCTGCTGGCTGCTAACAAGGACTGCAAGAGCTGGTTCTGAAGTCTAAGATGATCAACAACGTTACCTTCTGCAAGTCGTGTTGGTTGAGGTCGAGACTCCTGCGCAGTTCGTTGACGGCTGCTATCAGCTCTTCTTTCTGTGTGGCGGTAGCGGCCAACTTCTGCTTGGTGTCGGCCAGCTCGGCGTCTCCCTGCTGCTGGCTGCTAACAAGTACTGCAAGAGCTGGTTCAGAAGTCCAAGATGATCAACAACGTTACCTTCTGCAAGTCGTGTTGGTTGAGGTCGAGACTCCTGCGCAGTTCGTTGACGGCTGCTATCAGCTCTTCTTTCTGTGTGGCGGTAGCGGCCAACTTCTGCTTGGTGTCGGCCAGCTCGGCGTCTCCCTGCTGCTTGGCCGCCGAGAAGTACTGCAAGAGCTGGTTCTGATGCTCGCTTGTTAGTTTTACTGCAACGAATTTAAAGAAGTTGTAAGTCGGGTAACCTGAAAACTACCTAGCACCTCGATCACGATAAGTTTTACACTTATTACCTTTTTCTTCAAGTCTCTCGATGACCTGGCGGTTTTTCTCGTCTCCTTGGAGTTGCTTGTGTTTGATGTCCCTCACGAGCTGTCCAGACTTTTGGTATGCGTCGTACAATGTGGACTGATCGTTCTTGCATCGGGACAGTGTTTCCTTTAGCCGCTCGCTGTATTCCTCTAGCACATCACAAATTTCGCGGGTGCTACTCATTCTGTAAAATAATCAGGTAATTTTAAGAAGTTCGATTTAAAGCGTAAAAAGCGTCTATAAATTGAACGCTTTTAGTAAACGTGTCCCCTACTTAAGTTATTGTCAAGACAAATTGATTATTTTAATATTGATTGATAAGTAATAAGGATGAATTTAATACTTGTTCAAAGTTTCTGGTCGAAGCCTAAGTTCATCTTGGTACTGCCCGGAGATTGCCTCGTGTTGCATCTGCACCTCGACCATATTCTGCTGCAGCCGCTCATGGTTGCCCTCAACCTGCTGGAGCTTTTCCTTGAGGTCCCAGTACGCGGTGTCTTGGGCGACCTAAGGGCACCCACCACGCAAAAAGTTATTGTAGTTAGTATAGTAACTATCAGTTTTTTAGTATCTTAATCTTAAATAGTAGGCATTTAAAACGATTAGGAGAACAACCGATTGATTAAATGTAGCATAAACAAAAGAATGCTAAACTCACCTTCAACTTGATAATTTTTGCAGTTTCGCGAGAAACTTTTTCACGAAGTTTCTCAGCATCTACGTTCAGTCTTTTTCGACTCGCGACTTTACTTAAGTCACCGATATCCATAGCTGGCGATTATTTAATTAATTTGTTACTGATTAAAGTTGAAACTTTTAATAATTACGCGCCGAATGGAATGATGGACGATCAACGTAAAAATGGCGGGAACTCAACTCTTAAGTTTTTTTTTGGCAAAATCCAAGCAATGACAAAAATAATTATAGTGCATTCTAAAAATATTCTAAACAAGGTTTGGATATAAATTATCTGTGGTCTGGGTGTAGCACATTAAAAAAAAACCACAGATCCCATCAAAAACAATACTTGTCAAAAAAACCAAGTCTCGCAACTCAGTTGTTCTACGGTAAAAAGTTGTGAGATCCATGTAATACCAAGTCCAGGCCAGGAAATCTTTAACGTTTTACATAAATTATTGACTTGGCCATCGCACTAAATAATTTAATTTACACGTGTTTTCATGCGATGGCCAAGTCAATATATTTATGTAAAACGTTAAAGATTTCCTGGCCTGGACTTGGTATTACATGGATCTCACAACTTTTTACCGTAGAACAACTGAGTTGCGAGACTTGGTTTTTTTGACAAGTATTGTTTTTGATGGGATCTCATTTCTTTTTGTATTTTGTAGACAGCAGTTATGTATCTAGAAAACTGGACCGAAATTGAAAAATTTTACTCGACTTGGCGGTTGCACTACCGTGCCCCCAAATATTTTAGTTTTTCCTTGATTCATACACCAAACACTACTTATATTCCAAATTTGAAGCTTCTAGGTCTGCTAGAAGTGCCTTAGAGTTTTGATGATCGGTGAGTCAGTGAGTGAGTCAGTGAGTCAGTCAGTGAGTCAGTGAGTGACAAAATTAAGTAACTTTGACCCGTTATAATTCTTAAACTACTGATTCAAATTGAATGAAATTTTAAATATACCGTGTCTTTACAATGCCTGCATAGCTAATGAAAATTCAGCCTTCTAGTTTTATCCACAACGAAGTTACAGGCGGTCGAAAATGGCCTGAATTGCTTCGAGAAAAGGATGGTACGGCCGTGCCGCTTTTTTGCTCGACTTGGTGGGGGCACTGCCGTGCCCCCAGATATGGATTAGAGTAGATACAGCAAGTTGATCGTCAAAGCGTGCCATTCCGATATGTCCAAATGGACATACATGGTCGAGTGATGTTCATGTAATCCGATTACAACAATCGGTTACGATGATTTTACGAGGACAGTAGTACGAACACGGTAGAAAGAAGAAATTATTTACGGATTGAGAATTGTAATTAACAGCACAAGTAACAAATAATTAATTAGATTAAAGTAGCAGTAGAAGAAGTACAAAGTAGCATTGTTTTTAATACATATCCTGCGATGTACTCTTAAGAGTTAAAACCATGGTCCCTGTATGTGGTGCACTCATACCGATCCCAAGGAACCGTACTTACTCATAACAATAAGACACACACTGATGCATGTATTCATGCACTTGACAAATTTTTGTCTTGAAACGCTGGTAGGGTAAAAAAAATAACGAGATTTGACGATTTGTAAGAATTAATTTATTTTAAAAAGGTAAATAAAGATGTTTTTGGTTTTGTATTTAACAAATTATCAGTTTTATCGGAATTAATTAATTTTCGATTCGAGTCACACGATATCATTCGATGACTTTACAAATGCAGTACGATGATACGATTACTTTTACGTTGCGGCAATCACTAAAATTCGCTAAAATGACACTAATGACGTTTAAAAAGTGGCACGCTCGGCTTCATACAATTTTTGACACATGCTGCATCTATCCATATCTGTGAAAAAAACCAACCCCACTTTTAAGTCATCTGTCTCAACCGCACCTAATATCCCAAGCCCAAGCCCAAGTCCCATCCCACTTGGTCCCTCTTCTTAACTCGTCCCACACTCACATGAAAATGGCACAAATCAAGTCGGCCTCGACGAGTATTGCCAAGAACAAAAAAGAAGAAGAAGAAGAAGTCATCTGTCAAAAACTGTCAAAATTCGGAAGACAGTAGTGAACACAAAAAGGTAATTTGGTTTAATAAAATTAAATTAAATCAGTATTTATAGAACGATTTATTAAATACCCTCACAATATTTGATGGCGGTACTTACATTTGTTAACAATTATGATATTTTTTAACATTTGTTATGTAACTCGTATTTGAGGTTAGATTCGTACCGTATTTCAGATGCTCAGCTCCTCACTTCTTGGTGGCCTGCGGGCAGCTCGCTCCTCGGTGGTGATTACCCGCAACTTGGCGGCAGCGCAGAAGGCCACAGACCCCATCCAGCAGCTGTTCTTGGACAAAATCAGGGAATACAAGCAGAAGAGCTCGTAAGTTCATTCATGATTGACCTTGCAGTTTTCAAATTGGATAATAGTGATGATACTTTTGAGGTTTGGCTGTAATGTAATCTAACAGTTTTGATTTATGATTGAATATATGTTGCACCGTATAAAAAAAATAAGTTTACATTATTCTTCATGATTTACCCTGTAAATCTCATTGGAAATTAGTAAGATAAAATTTTCATACTAAAGAAATAATGTTCTAATCACTTGTTCTTTCTTTCAGTGGTGGCAAACTGGTTGACCCCAGCCCAGCTATTGAGAAAGAACTCAAAACTGAGTTGGAGAAACTGGAGAAGCAATATGGTGGTGGTTCTGGTGTAGACATGACCTCATTTCCCTCATTCAAATTTGAAGAACCCAAGCTGGACCCCATTGATGAGGCACAACAAGTGGCGAAGAAGAAGTGAACGTACTGATAGCAATCCATAGCATAATGTGCATCCAATGTGTTAATGTCCTCAACATTTAAAGCTGGTGAATAAATTATCGTATTAGGTTTTTAGTATTATTATTTTCCTCATATTATTATCGTGTTGTTGACAAACAATACTGAAAATATTTGGCATCCCTTCATTTGTTTTTCTTGGTTGGTAACTTGTTAATGCGGCAATAGGAATAAGCATTACATTAAATAATGAAAACTACTTACTGACGCGTCGTGGTCTTAGCTTAATAGTTATTAAAATAATAACTTTGATGAATAGGGGATGAAACAATGTAAAAGTACTTCCTAATAAGCGAATAGATGCAAACTTAACAACTTAATTTTAATGTTTTATGTATTATCTGTTGTTTTATGTAGGTTATGTGTAGGTGTTTTATGTATGTAGTAAAATCCCAACTAATATTATAAATGCGAAAGTAACTCTGTCTGTCTGTCTGTCTGTTACGCTTTCCCGTTTAAACCTCGCAACCGATTTTGATGAAATTTGGCATAGAGATAGTTTGAGTCCCGGGAAAGAACAGGATAGTAATTAGTATTTGATAAAACCAATATTTTTGCAATAAATTGACTAACGCCATCTAGAGTTTTGATGTGGAACGATCCGTCTATAGAAGTTAATCATAAAGTAAGTATTAACCAGGCGATTCAGTAGAGGTCACTAGTAGGAGTAGTAGGCACTGCTTATTGAATTTTTTTTGCTTCATTAGAATAAAACTTGGATTCTTAAAATGTTTTTAATGTGCATGTGCTTTCTTTTTTTTATTTTTATTTCCTCTGTCATTTAGGATCACAACGTTTTTCTAGAATGGCATCACTAAAATTCGGGGAATCCTGTATTGTTAGTATTAATTTTGTAATGGTAATGGTGAGAAGCACGAGCAACACGACTATTAATGAATGAACAATACTCTTTGCTGATTACGTGGTGGTCAGTGTGCGGTTCATGTCCGTTTGTGTAACTCGTATCTCAGTTTCTGTATCCTAATGATTGATATTACTGTAGTCTGTAACATTTTGTGCTAAGTGCTAAAGGTAGTCCCACCTTATCCTTAGTATCACTTGTTATTTTTTAATATTAATTAATTTATGGGAAGTTACTTACCGGTTTTAAAACAAGAAAAATCCATGTGAGTACCAGTACCTCTAGCATGAACAACTTTCGTCTTCGAATCGTTTGCGTACTCGATAAAATTCGATACTTAATCTTCGAATTAAATGATAACGGGACAATTTTGATACTCAAAATAAGTTTCGTGCAACCACATCTCATACTAAGTTCACTTTACGACACGTTCACAAGGGCGCTGTTGTAGTTTTCTTACTTACTAAATCTTTTGATGGCGATTCGAGTACGCAAACGATTTGAACTCGAAAGTTTTTCGTGCTAGCCGTACAGTAATCTTATTAGATTTATCCATATTTTATAATATAATATGCAGGGGTTTAATTTAACACATCATAACACCATCAAAATCAATACATCATACTATACCAGTTTTTGAGTTAAACCAGTTACTTAAACGGTGACTCTCAAATCTATCAGTAACGTAGTAATTTGCCATAATAGGTATATTAGGCTAAATTTCATTAGAGTTCAGCCACAACATTATTTTTGTCATAAAAATTTCATAAGGAGCTTTTGAAAGTCTGCTTATCGCAAACACGTTGATAAGCGTCGCCTCTCTCGCGTTGACATGAAACATCCGACTTTGTCAACTTTGTTCAATAAGTAGGTACCTACTTTACTACTTTGGTTATTAATTATATTTATAGCTTTTAGCCTATTATTATTTTATTAAATAATTTTTATTTGTTTGATTGTATCTTTCTTGCACATGGTGAAGTTGTAGAAATGGCGGACTTAATGCAAATACGCATACAGGGTGGAAACGATAAGTGATCTCACTCGATTATTTCTAAACTATACAAGATATCGAAAAACTATACAATATATATATTAACTGATCCTGAAAGTGCTTCATAAGCCCTATCAAACGGTATGAATAATAGGTTACAGAATAAACTGGATCTATCCGAAAATTTAATGTTTAGCTTCCATACATTTGGTAAAGCCACATAATATTAAAAACCACACATGATATCGTAAAACTGTACCTCTAGTAGGAAAAACTTTCGAGTTCGTTTCGTTGCGTATTCAAAGTGTCATCGAAAAATTTTGTATGAAAAATTAAACAGCGCCCCCTATATTATAGCCGCCCTAGGGGGCGCTGTTTAATTTTTCATACAAAATTTTTCGATGACACTTTGAATACGCAACGAAACGAACTCGAAAGTTTTTCCTACTAGAGGTACAGATTCTAAAAGTGCTTCACGAGCTCTATCCAATGGTATCAACATTAAGTTACAGAATAAACTGGATCTATCCAAAAATTCAATGTTTCCTTCTTCCTACTACCACAGTCATGGGACTCATCTCTTGATAATATTATAGCAAGTAAAACCAATGTTTTCCGTATTTTTTTTAAATAAAAATGTAATTTACGAGTTTATTTTAAGAGTTTATTATTTAATTTTAAAAAATACACTTCTAATATTGTGTGGCTGGCATACATTTAGTATGGAAGCTGGAAACATTGAATTTTCAGATAGATCCAATTTATTCTGCAATCTATTATTGATACCGTTGGATAGAGCTCGTGAAGCACTTTCAGGATCAGTAACCAGATTTTGGATTTTATAGTTTAGATAGAAATAATCGAGTGAGAGAGATCACATATCGTTTCCACCCTGTAGATACCTCTTTCTTTACCTAAGTTTATATCTACTAAATATTCATCAGACAGAGAAAATTTATGCATAAATTCCTGACAGTCTTAACAGATGTAAATAGTTAGGTCCTAAGTATTTAACTTTACTTAGATAAACGAGTTTAACTAACCTACCTACTTAAAACTAGTAACCTTTAATTTTAGGTATTAAACACGTTTACTAATAAGTAGGTACATAATAGAATAGTCTAGCTAGGAATGGCAGAGATACATAGGCCTACCTTGTGTTTGTAAGGGTTTTCGATAGGTATAAAATATGTTTTATATTATCACACTATCATTCAATAAATTTATTATTTATTCATATATATTTATTTATTTATTTTCAGTCAGTAACATGAGTGGCGAAAATGAAGAGAACCCCACATTTGAATGGAGTGAGGACAGATTGGAAGAGATCGCGTTTAAAGAGTTATTTCCACTATCTGTCACGGACATATTATCAGTTCAAAAAGATATAATAAAACGGTTCCTTGATTTTTATTTAGGAGGTAGAGTCCAAAAAGGCATAGGTGTGGACGACCTAGTATTTGCTGTTTTGTCCATATTGCCGGTATCTCCGTATGATGAAAAAAAAATATGGAGTGACGCAATGTTTACAAATGGCGGTATGGCTTTCTTTTTAACTCCCGAAGAAAAAAATGCGTTTCAATCCCGATCGACGAACGACAGTCAGGAAGACGTCCAGAGCACAGGAGAGCCGATGGAGTCGCCTTACCCAGAGTCTGTAGACGCTACTGAGGATCCTGTAAGTATTTCTAACGATACCGAAAACATTCACCTAGATGATGATGATGATGATCATGATGATGATGAAAAAGATTTTACAATAGAGGATGAGACAACAGCTAACCGAGATAAAGACAACCTTAGTGAAAGCAGCAACGAAATAAATAATGTTTATGATGATGATGATGATGATGATGATGATGATGGTAATAGTAACATTTCCGAAGAGCCAATTAATGAGAATATGGAACCCGAACCACAACCATTCAGTCCACCTATAGAGTTGCCGGAAAATATAAAGTTCGCGCAGAAACCAATTTCGAAGGAAAATAAAATTTTGACTTATGGCCCTGTTGAAAATGCTGCATTTATATCATGTTGCCATGAATTACTTAATAGATGGGATTCAGAGTCACGTTCCAGAGCAGTACTGAAATCTTTCTTTGCTGTGGTAGCTTTGGTGCTGATGCGTGCTACTACGAAGGGCTACAAACATCTCATTTCTACGTTCTACAGTCAAAAGTTTCTTCGATTACTTCGCCACAGTATCAAATGCGGGCTCTCGAAGTATTCTCCACCGCACAAGCGCTGCCTCAAGCGAGCCTATAGGACTTTCCGTCGAAGAGACGGTAACACGCCCACAATGTTCGCTAAACTCGTATTATTATCGAAAAATTTAAGTAGATTTAAATACTTAAATTATATCATATTTAACGGTCTTTTAAACTATACGGCAGAATATGGGTTTAATTTGATACAGCTGCTTCGAACTTTGTGCAATGAAATTGAAGATGGTAGTGTGACAAGGGTGATGGAGGCGACCTGGTGCGAAGCTACTGCGGCGTCTTGGATGAAAGTGGCGATATTTTTGAATGAACGTTACACGGCTTCGTCTTCGGATTCGAGTTACAAGTGGGCACGAGTGTTGGACGGACGTTTCTTCAAGGGATTGTCGTGCCAACAGAACTACGGTCTGGCAGTGATAATGTCAATTTTCGTGGAGAAGCTCACTGGTAATTTAGATGTATGGAAAGCAACTTGGGTGGAAAACGATGAATTGGAAAAGTATCGCGAACTCGGAAGTCGATTATATGAACGGTTTATTTGTTGAAACGATGAATTATTAAAAATATTTATTGTTTCGTTCCTAGAATAGTAAATTGTTATTGTATTAAACACAAAATAATATAGTTTTATTGGCATTCAATTTTTTTTATTTTTTTACATTAGGTGTGGTTTATTAGAATGCTTGGTATCTTTAGAAGCAATTCAAGTACCAACTTAAGGTAAACCTACAATGTTGCGTTTCACCAATCAAGATAAACGCCGGCAGGCTGGTAACCCTGCGCTCCAGGCGCTGTGACTTCGCACTTTAGTTTAGCAGTCAGTAGCTACGCGTACTGCCGCGTGGTCGGAGGTGTCGTGCGTCATGGCGGCCGGCTTCGTGGGCTCCACCAAGAGTTTCCCTTTCTCCTTCGATGTGGACGTGGAGGAGGAGCTGGAGGACCAGGGAAGAGCTGTCACCCCGCACCTAAGCAAGAGAATAGGTCAGTGGCGACACATGTTTACATTTTGGAGGATTGTTTTGTTTAGGCGGCTCAGTAGGCACAAACAGTAAATAAAACATTCGGTTTTGCAATATAGTAAATTGGATAATAATTCAGCTAAACTGAACAATTTTTTTACGACTAAGGTATTTTCAGTTCAGACTTATTCGTTCTATTTACAATTGGATGTAGTAGCTAGGTATTGACTGTTAATTAGTATCTAAAAGGAAAATTTTAACAACAAAGGTCGTGTTACTCATCACATACATTTTTACCTTTTTGTTATCACGCCATAACGAAGCAAACAACACAAAATACCTACCTTCTAGATAATAAACAGAAAACCTATCTGCACCATGGAAAATTCAAACAAAAATCCAGATAAATAATATAATTTGTAATGATGATATCATATGTAAAAGACACCAAGATGTATTGTTAATCCTTGATTCCCTAATAAATGCAGAAACAGATGATCTGTCAGCTCAATCAGATAAAAGTTAAGCAGAAATAAAATTCAAATCTAAGGTAGGTAGTTGATAACAATGCGTTATTGCGTGTTTTTATTATGGTCAGCTTACTCACACCACTCACCATACTGCGGTGTTATAATAACCCTGCCGGTTCGGAAAGCCCCTGCTGCCCCGGTTGCTAACCGGGAAAGGCGCCCATTTCTCGCGCCGGGTGCTCGGATCGATACGGCATCAGCTGACGGGTCCGTCTGCCGCAAGTCTCAAACGTGTGTTGTGTATGTGATAAAATGTATACCTACTACACTACTTACTCATTCGTCTTCTTTTTGAACTAGCTGAATTGTTAGGAAACGTTGAGGCCTTCTTTTGGTGTTCTTCAAAAAAGAATTACATACGTAGGAAATTCATGTGAAAATTTAAAATCTTGTAAAAGGCTTTGGATTTCAGAAAGATCGATGGAGTCCTTCAGGGAACTAAACTTTCACCTCTAAGTTTTATTATACGAAAATTATTTTGAACATCATTCCAAACATTATTAGCTACTTACTTAGGTACCCTTTGGTCTAGTCTAGTGATTCGCTAACCAGACTGCATCGCTATGCTAGTCACGGACTCTAAATATGTTAGGTCCCTAATTTTGCTATAAAATTAACCAAACTAGTTACAGGCTTTACAATGAAATCCCTGTGAACGTTCAAGCTGAATAATCAGAGAAATATTTACCAGCCAGATAAGCTGTTTCATATACCTATAGATAAGCAACTCGTGGGCGGACAATGCCGCTTAATAATTTTCCGACTGTCTGCAATAATTCATTGAAAAGACCAAATTTTCAGGATTATAACGCTGATTTTTTGTGCATTCAGAGTTACCTTCCTGGGGGTGTTCCCTTTGCCGCCTAGAATAGATTAAAACTACCTAGATTGTTCTATTTCAATAATTATTGGAATGTGTGTGAAGAAGAACAATTATTTCATTTACCTAGATATCGTGACTGTGAGAACTGATAAGGATAAGATAGCGCACTTTACAAACGCCCTGCTCTACCTAAAGCGATATCCGCCAAAGAGCCGACCAAAAAGATACAAATGATTATAAATTCACAAGGTTTTTTCCATAAAATCACGTAATAAGCACCGCAAGCGTTTAACCACAGCAAACAATACCCATTGTAGGAAAACCAGTTATCAGTACTGAACCAGGGTGACCCGAATTATTTTTGAGCAAGGGACACAAGAGCAAATTACAACCTATATCAAAGAGCTTTACTCAAATGGCCCCTTTCTGATGAGATGTCTGTTTTCTAGACATGTTAGATGCCTTTTGTGGCTCACAGGCCTTTATTTTGAAAACGATTCACGCAATGTTAATTCCTTGTGGAATTCGATTTGATGAAGTCGAAAAACTTGCAGTTTTGTACCCAACTGACGGAGCTTTCTAACTCTCAATGCAATCGCGAAACTGAGTAGTTTTATGGTTTAATACTACTCAATTTTAACAATATGAATGACCCTCGCTATAAGAAGCAGTCCCCTCTTTCCTACGTGGTCTCTGACTACGTGATCAAAGCCCCGTTTGCTCTAGAAACAGCAATAACACCTGTAAATACTAATTGTTTGTAACGTGATCGCTGAAAAGTTCTCTAATTTTTCAGATAAAAAAAAGCTTGATCCTTAAAAAAATGCTCATGACCCCCAATGGGTTATAGACTGCCTTGATAAGAAGTACCCTTGTAGTACAGTAGACAGACAGACAGCCAATTGTTATAGTAACGTTGTTTTGAGCGGACATCATTTATCAGGACGATAGCGGCCCCCACCGACTTATTATTGTCACCCCAGCAATACCCAAACGTTTCAATGGGTCACAAATACGTCTTAGATGAGACACAAAAGATTATATTTTGTTCCCCTTGACAATCCGTATGAGGAAGGACAGTGCAAGGCCACGAAGATGTATCGTGGGAAACGCAATTGTGCTAGTAGAGATTTCTGCGTCAAATCAGTATTAACTCTGCAGCTCCGTGGAAAATTGAACTATATGAAAATACTTCATTCCTGAACTTTCTATTCATTCCCTCCTAACAAATCCTTCCGGTCCTGCACTGTGCGTCTTTTGTAGAAGTAGGTTAACCGGTACAGTCAACAAACAGGATTGGCGCAACTGCGCGACGCGCAGCTCAGTGTGACCTATCTCTACATTGGGCATTGGCTACGTCTTAGAAAACTTGTTTTGAACGGACATCGCATATCGATTTTACTTTTTCGAATCCAGATTTTGTGATGTAAGTAACTGCACATTTGACTGACCTTTACAGGCACCGACCCACATTGGTAGGGCTAGAGACTGTACCATCGTTGTAAACGAGCGATATAAAGTTGAAAAGCAAAAAACCATTTTTTACACTTCTATCTAACGTTAGGTTTAATAGTTAAAGCTGATGTCAAAACCTCTCCCAAGTTTTAGGATTTAGTCAGTCAGCGCCTCAGATCATAGTCTGAGGTCAGCGCCATACTAGGTACCTACGTAGGTGTATGCTCCTATAATGCCACATGTGTTTAACTAAAACAAGTATAAAAGTAAATCAATGTAGAGATTAGTTGTGAATCAATTTGGGTCAAATCTTCTCCTGTACATCTGTGATTCGCTGGCAAGGATTATGTCTCATCTCATTTTAATAAAATTAAACATGTGAAGCGATTGCTGGCCCCCTGCCAATAACAGGTAAAAATACTGGAAACATTTGATCAGAGATTCTATCGTGATATTCGTGGTGTTCTAAATAGATCGTAGGAACTAGGTACCCAGTTAAAATAATTTGAATACCTACACTACGTTATGCGGACTGTACACGGAATATTTCCAGTGTCTGACTTCTTGTTATACAGGTCTTTGACAATGATGAAATACTGATTAAATGTGCTCTATCTACTCTCAGAATATCTACATTAGTACTTTTACAGGTAATATTGGATCAAAACTTTATTTTATTACAAGTAAAAAGTATTTCAGTGCTATTAAAAACTATCTAACTAAAAGTTACTGTAGCGGACAGCCGACAGATATCTTAGGTTTAAAATAAAGATGTATTTCTGCGTTAAATGCCCTGACGGCTATCAAAAAACATATACTTTCAAAACTAAAAACCAAAAGGTATTAAAAATAATAAAAAAAGTAAAAAAACATAGACAATTATAAAAAACAGGTTGGTCCACCTATCGGTTCCCAACAGTTATAAGCCTGACCAGGAACATAAAAACCCTGGCATAGAGGCGCGTCAATTGCATTTGATAGTGCAACACTGAGTACAGTCGTACCTGTGTTAAATTAATAGGCTAACTTTATGTATCAGGATTCAGGATTACGGGCTAATTTGATATTTTCATAAATTAACGAAAAAATATTATTATAGGTAACCTGGTTTAAATAAATTAAATGAAACCATCAATCGAGCTAGTAGGATTTATTTTATTATTCATCAATAATCAAATTCAGAACTTGAATATTCAACTGCAATGTCTGCTCATGAACGCTTCAAACTCGGTACTTCTTTCCCTATTCCATAAAATTCAACACTTAGAAAGTGACAAAAAACTTTAAAATAGGTAGTTGAAACAAACCACAGCTAATTTTCATAGTGGACTGTACTATACGGTAAACATGTCAGTCAATTTGACAACCTTTGTTGGAAACATTATTCAATGAAAATATTGTCCGAACCCTTGGTATTTCTCTTCGACAAATACTTTAACACATTGTGAACCACTTTTCTTTCTCGACTATAAAAAGATTTTAGCAATTTCATTCACAAAATCAATTGCGCACATTTAAAATAAAGTTTGTTTACACTTTGACAGCAATAGATTGACATGCAAGGTGACATGTCAATGAAGTTTTCAGTTACTGTTGCCATTAAAATAAATTAGTACCATTAGTTTTCCGCAACATGGTGAGGGTTTTTATGTTCCTTGTCAGGCTATACTATTACTAAAAGTTACTACTAACCCTAGTTAAAGTAAACTTATAGAGATAATCCTAGATTTTCCCGAATGATAGAGAAAGAGGGAAAATACTAATAGCTAACGTCCGATAACATGCATACGAAGAGTCCCCAGAACAAAATATGATGCGTTTTCAGCTTTGTCTGTTGCTCTACTCATATCATCATGTCTCTACAATTAGACATGGAATGATTTTGTGTATAACAACGACGTGCTCAGCATAATGAATATTCTAGAATATAATTTGTCTTTGCTTTTAATATCACATTTTCAGAAAGAGTTACTTTATGTATTTTGTCTCTATCATTACTGCGATGGAGTATATCGTCATATCTATTAATTAATGGTGTTGCGGTTGTGCTTAAGGTCTGGCTTTTGTTGGACCTGGCAACCCTAGTTGCGCTCTCAGCAATGGAAAATTTGCTTGTTATCTAATATGGTATAGGTCGTTCATCGCCCTCTGTTGCCCTCGGCGAGACAGGTCGAAGCTATTTCAGTAAACACGCTTCCAAAGTGCCGCGTACGT